TATATATATTATATAATATATATATATATATATATATATATATATATATTGCGTAATTATTTCCTGGAATATAAATTGCCACACGGTTTGTGAGATGATGAGAGAGAGAGAGAGAGGAGAAGAGAGAGAGAGAGAGGAGAGGAGAGAGAGAGAGAGAGAGAGAGAGAGAGAGAGAGAGAGGAGGGAGGGAGGGGGGGAGGGAGAGAGAGAGAGAGAGAGAAGAGAGAGAGAGAGAGAGAGAGAGAGAGAGAGAGAGAGGCGGGGGGAGGGGGGGGGAGAAGGGAGAGAGAGAGAGAGAGAGAGAGAGAGAGAGAGGAGAGAGAGAGAGAGAGAGAGAGAGAGAGAGAGAGAGAGAGAGAGAGAGAGAGAGGAGAAGAGAGAGAGAGAGAGAGAGAGAGAGAGAGAGAGAGGGGGGGAGGAGAGAGGAGAGAGGGATCAGAGAGGAGAGAGAGAGAGAGAGAGAGAGAGAGAGAGAAGAGAGAAGAGAGCGAGAGAGAGACGAGAAGACGGAGAGAGAGAGAGAGAGAGAGAGAGAGAAGAGAGAGAGAGCAGAGAGAGAGAGAGAGAGAGAGAGACGCTCAGAGAGAGTGTGGTTCTTGAAACGAATGTGGTTTTTAACTATCTTAGATTTATTTTTCAGGGTTCCTCAAATTGAGATCAACCTCAAATATATGTGTTAAGCTTTGTGCCAGAAAATTGGTTATTTTATTAGTTTTCCCCAATTTCTGCAATTTGGTCCTTAGATGGCGAAGTTAATTATTTACGGAATTAAAACAGGTTATACTGATTCCTGATAGCAAAGGAACATAGAAAATGTTACAGTAGGGATAACTATTTGTATTTGAAAAACTCAAGCTAAAAAATCGTTGATTCTAGTAATCACTCTCATACTAACAATCTCTTTCTCTCTCTCTCTCTCTCTTCTCTAATCTTTTCTTCTTTCTCTCTCTACTCTCTCTCTCTCTCTCTCTCTCTCTCTCTCTCTTCTCTCTCTCTCTCTCTCTCTCTCTCTCTCTCTCTCTCTCTTCTCTCTCTCTCTCTCCTTCTCTCTCTCTTTCTCTCTCTCTCTCTCTCTCTCTCTCTCTTCTCTCTCTCTCTTCTCCTCTCTCTCTCTCTCTCTCTCTATATCTCTCTCTCCTTCTATCTCTCTCTCTCTCTCTCTCTCTTCTCTCTTCTCTCTCTCTCTCTCTCTCTCTCTCTCTCTCTTCTCTCTCTCTCTCTCTCTCTCTCTCTCCCTCCCTCCTCCCTCCCTCCCTCCCTCTCTCTCGCTCTCTTTCTCGATTGCCTGCTGGTTATGGACACTTTGCTCATACTTAAGCCTTTTGATCATTTTCATGAAACTCTCTGTCAAGTTGTTGGCAATATTATTACTCAACTACAACCCAAAAGCCCTGCCAAGCATAGATCTTTATCTTCCAGTGGTAGACGTGCACAACAACTAAACAAAGACCCTGAGATAAAACTTCTTAGAAGGCTCATACGATCTATAGTAAGTCAGCTAAAACATTTGGGGCAAAACCCGTACTTAGTTTTTTAGTAAAAAAGGATCGATGAGATAATGACTCGAAAGCGGGGGAATGACATTTTAGCAAAAATTGTGTTTCTCTTAGTCTCATAATCAACCTAACCAAAACTAATCATATTTCCAAACCTGGCAAACTTACATTCCAAGGTTAAGTGGACAAACTATAGCGGGAACTGACACCTTTAAATATCTTGGTGTCATGGTGATTGCTCCCCACCTCATGTCCCACAGCTGCCGTTTTACCAAGGATATTGTTCAGAACATCAAAGAACGTTGTCTAGAACGTATAGACCATTGCAGTACATAAGCAAAATATGTGTAGGTGCTTCCATAAGAGTCCTGAGGTTGATGTATATCTTCCTTATTAGGTCCATGATAAACTACACAAGCCCAATTCTTAGTATGTTGCCACCGACTGCCCTAAAACCCCTTTAAGTCTTACAGAATAAGGCCATGAGAACTTGTACTTGGATGCCCAATGACTGCTAAGGTTCTTGCCATGAGGAAAGAGCTAGACCTCCCCTCTATTCAGTCATGTCACTCAAGTTAACGCCATACTTGGCATCAGACTCCTGCAGCTTCAGCCCAGACTACAAATTTCCCCTATTTTATCAAATGAGATAATTTATAGAGTTAGTCATGGCCGGACTCGATACTCCAATCTAATAAATCTAGTAAATAATAACTTAGAATGGAAAACCAAAACTGCCCATGCTATTCTATTCTTCAATGTATGGAACACTGAAGCTATTAACATACCAGAAATAATGCTTACTACCCCATAGCACAGTACTCGTGTATATGCTCATGTTGACAAATTAACAGGGCCTAAATCCATGACTTTAAGAGCAGAACTAAGAAAGAACCTGAAATATATAAATGATATTCATCCCCCTCATGGTACTCCCCCACTTGCAATCTACTGTGACACCTCCTCATGAAGAAACCAGGGGATTGGTGTACTATTTTCGAGTGTAGATCTTGAAGAAAGTGTGTGTATTTCCAACTGGGTATACTGATGCTGAGTCACTTGTCATATACCATGCTATTAAAAAAAGGTAGTGAACAACAGCGACACCTGTCTGCCTTTACTGACAGCCAGGGTGCACTCCATAGGCTCACTGCCTTTAATCCAGAAAACATGGGAACTATCAATATTCTTATTTTAACTAACAGAACAGGGTACTCAAGTGTCCCTATACTTAATTCTACGTATAGAACAGTCATCTCTCCTCTCTCTCTCCTCTCTCTCTCTCTCTCTCTCTCTTCTCTCTCTCTCTCTCTCGTCTCTCTCTCTCTCTCTCTCTCTCTCCTCTCTCTCTCTCTCCTCCTCTCTCTCTCTCTTTCTCCTCCTCTCTGTCTCTCTCTCCTCTCTTTCTCTCTCTCTCCTCTCTCTCTCTCTCTCTCTCTCTCTCTCTCTCTCTCTCCTCTCTCTCTCTCTCTCTCTCTCTCTCTCTGCTCTCCTCTCTCTCTCTCTCTCCCTCTCTCTCTCTCTTGATCAATTAGCCAAATTAGCACTTTCCTATGAAGAACCACATGCAATACCCCTATCTCTCAGTCAAATGAACAAAAACGGACATGGTACTATCTGGCATTATGAGGGTTTTGCTGAAACAACAGATGCAAACAAACCCTATCTATAATGAAGTGTCTCGGAGACAGCAGGTTACCGTGACGAGGCTACGCATAGGATATCAGTATACTATACAGCATGTGCAGGATGCAGTTTTGGAGGCAAATTAAGTTTCATTTCACCATTGCAGACTGTGCAAGGCGCTCAAGTCGCATGATTTTACCCATTACTTACACTTTGTTGCACGAAAACTGCATTCTGTCGATCATGTAGTGCTGACCACAGATTAGGACTTACCAATCCTATTAACTTTATGATTGACTCTGGTCTTGTCTTTGACATGATTAGTGATATGAAAGGTTTATTGCCATCTAGATGATATACTAATAATGCAGTGAGGATGGCACAGCCCTTCAGGCATGTATATAACACTAGAGTTTGACTGATAGCCCTCTACCAGAATCACAGCCAGTTTAGATAGATGCTTTTATATCTTACTGTTCTGTAAATAGATTTATCAAATCACTTCAATCAAATTCTCTCTCTCTCTCTCTCTCTCTCTCTCTCTCTCTCTCTCTCTCTCTCTCTCTCCTCTCTCTCTCTCTCTCTCTCTCTCTCTCCTCTCTCTCTCTCTCTCTCTCTCTCTCTCTCTCTCTCTCTCTCTCTCTCTCTCTCTCTCTCTCTCTCTCTCTCTCTCTCTCTCTCTCTCTCTCTCTCTCTCTCTCTCCAATAACGATGGTGTTAGTACGAGCAGCGATTATAATGGAAATGATTATGAAGTTAATGATAACTGTTGCAACGATCATTATGATCATCATTTGATAATAGTAACAATGGAAATATACTTGATAATCCTTGGCTGGCAAATGGACAAGGAGAGAGAGAGATACAAATTTACATATATTGTTAGAGTAAGAGAGAAAATGACACAGAGAAGAGGGAAAACAATTGGTAAAATATCAAAACTAACAAATCTACTATCTACTATGTGTATATATATATATATATATATATATATATATATATATGTGTGTGTGTGTGTGTGTGTGTGTGTGTGTGTGTGTGTGTGTGTGTGTGTGTGTGTGTGTGTGTGTGTGTGTGTGTGTGTGTGTGTGTGTGTGTGTGTGTGTGTGTGTGTGTGCGCGCGCTGTTTTGTCCTCGAAATTGAATTACAAGACAACTGAGAGATGGTTTCACATTTTCAATCAAAACCTGCTATAGGTATTTTGAAAAGCTGATGCCTCCTTGGTTATCTGAGACAATAGAAGGCCGGGTGTATGTGAACATAAATATGAAAAAAGTTTGTAAGCTATACTATATATCGTCTGAAATTTCTCTGCGAATAAAATTCATATAGCCTGGATTTTTTCCCCTGTTTTATTGTTTGATTTCATTGTCACAAAACCACATGTTTCATATCGATCGTTTTTTTATATCACATTTTTATATCACAATATAATAATGATGAAAGATAAGAGATAAAATATCAAAATTTTCGGTATTGCAAACAAGACCTGGTAGAGATAAGACAGTAACATGCATTCATTTTGTATTTATTGGAATAAGACCAAATCTAAAAGCTGATTTTTATTCATGCGTCTAGATTAGATGTGTTTTTTTAATTAATATCAAATTCCGTATTTATTATTCATATCAAAACGAAGGGCGTAACGGGATGTGGTTGTTTCCATTTGAATACGTTGGAGATATCTTCGAAGACATGTTGTAGCAACACAGTAAACTATCCCATTTACAACGACAAGTATAAATAATAACAAAATTCTATCAAAACATTAAATAACTTTTACATGACAAGATATGATTGCCAGTTTGCCAACCAAAGTAAAGAAAAGTTCTCTAGTGACTGCAGGCAATGACTTCAAAGATGTCTTCGTTCGAATCGGAAGGAAAGGTTTGTTTATCTCCCTCAGCCAGCCGTGTCCACCTCCTCCTTCAACAAACGTCTATTTTATGCCATTTACAATGAATTACACCTAGTATAAGGTAATTAAAAGTCCATGTTGGAGGGATGGGCGACATATCTTGGTAAATACTTCCTTGATTTGTCAGAATACGTGAAGTCGATGAGGTGTGACAGCTGAGTAGTTGACCTCAAGTTTTCCGTTTGTTAAAAAAAAGTCATTTATTATGATGACGATTTAGAGCAATTTCGCAGTTTTTAATTCACGGTCATTATTTATATGTGTGAGTATGGCCACTGCCCTATTTGTCGCTGGAATGTTGATTGTAGCGAGTTTAAAAGATGATTCATATTTACCGTATGTTAAACTCGAACTGAACTTGTATGAAAGGGTGTATTGTTTTTTTTATGAAGAAAACTGGTAATTACTTTAAATCTCACATGCAGCAGTATTGCATTGGTTGTTATATTTTTATATTTCAGTGTAAGAATTGTCCCAAAATGTTCAGGTTTGAGAAGCTTGAGTTAAGAAGGTAGATGAAACCAGTGGTAAGAAGTGGGTTTATGCATTTCATTTAGTATGTGCTTTGTATTAAAGGATGTGGTAAGTCTCATAAAACTGAACCTATGGAGGAGTATACATTTATTCTGGTTTGCATTTCCTAAGGAATATGTAATGTTAAGTATTTGCAAGGCACCTACAGTATGGTATTATATTGGTGGTGTCCAGACCAGATCCATTATAAATTTGCTATGATCTGTTCTGGAATGTCACCAGTATACTTTATTATTATTATGTGTCAAACAAGAGCTTTTGGTACTCTGAAAAAGAACAATCAGCCTGCATCATTTCTTTTTAGGCACGATAAAGCTTAAACTAATTTCTTGTTTTCTGTTAAATCACCAAAATTTGGGTTCATTGACCTTTGCTTATTGGCCTGGGACAGATGTGAGTGCCTTGTGAACCTTTGCTTAAGATATTTTTACGAAGTTTATGAGTGCAAGGATCCAGTGTTTTTTTAAGCATCATATTTCTTTTATTTTTAGTGTTTAGAATGGATGAGATATGGGATTGCAAGGAACTGTAAGAGGTAGAGGGAAACAAAGGATTGGCCATACAGAACATAATAGTATTAGGATTATGGGCAGCTTCATAATAGGTTCAGACTCCTGGGGGATTTTGATTTTAAAATTGAAAGAAAAAAAATTATAACTGGTGTGGAACAGATGTACATAGAGAGAATTTGACCTATGAATATGAAAAAGTGAAAATAGTATGGCCTCAAATTACTGAGCCAATAAAATTTATTAGAGATTGCAACATTGTCAGTAATGCACTTGTAGTTATAAGTATATATCTAAAAATATAAGGAGATTATAACTATTCATTTATTTATACATGAAGTGAGTTAAAAAAAAAAATGTAATTACACACAGAAGGCTAAAAATCATCCTTAGGAAATTGTTCAGAAGACCCTCACAGAGATTTTTAACTATCTGAATTATTTATCATGATATAAAGCATAAAGAAACAAATAGATGACAATCTTAAACATTTATTAGATATTGCATGACTATTACTTTCCTGTAATCTGAGTTTCCCCAAGGTACTCCAATAACATATAGGCCTATACAGTTATAAGTTTATATCGCATAAAAATCTCTAGATATTTAACTCTGTTTACCAATAGACCTGCAATGTCATTGCTCTGCATCCATTTGTTTTCCCCTGATTTTCTTCTTATTATTCATCACCATCTTACTTTAGGGGGATGAAATTAATGAGATTTTTTTCCAAATGTCTTTTATGCTACATTTTTCTTTTTAGCTTCTTATATATTGTATATATTTGTTGATTTAGTCATGACAGTCCTTGGGAGAAAGATAACCTGCAGTATATTGACAATATACAGATGATGACTTAAGTAAATCACTGTGACTTGATATTAGTAAACAGAAACATAGTTTTAGTAATGAGAGTGATAATGATAGTAGTGAAGATGATTATAATGATAATGATACTTTATATTTTACTATGTTTCCTCCTATGATTAAATTTGAAGTGAGAATGTATGGAATAGCATATATTTGATTTTAGTTTGTACATAAGTGTGTGTGTGTGTATGTGTGTGTGTGTGTGTGTGTGTGTGTGTGTGTGTGTGTGTGTGTGTGTGTGTGTGTGTGTGTGTGTGTGTTTACAGAGAGAGAAAGCCAAAGCTGAATAGTAGTCAATGGCTAATTACGGTATAAAACCTAGACATGTGATCAAATATATTGTATATGTATTCAAGCCATTTTTGTGAGATACCTCTCGTTTTGCTTATTTTAGCTTCTCTTTCCATACAGGACCTGCTCCTTTGGTGACGCCCAGAAAACCTGCAGCCATGAATTCACTCAAGAGTTTCATGAACAGGGTAAGTTAGCATTGATATAGTCCTAAACTTCTAGTGCTTGTTTAGCAAAACTTCATATTTTCTTTTAAAGGATAGAAGGTAGTGCAGGCTTTGCATATTGTATTAATATACATTCTTATAGGGTAGTGAAGTTTCAGAGTTTTATTTCGTCAGGTTGTGAGGGAAGTAGGCCCTCAAGCAGCAGGTCAGGGAGGCACAGAAGGCGAAAGAGCCGAAGATGGTCCAGGAGATGCCGTGGAGGGCTTCTTGTGTCCAACATGTTACATGAGCTTCCCAAAGCCAGAGCTCCTACAGGATCACTATGAAGCGGAACACATTGAACCGTCAGCCAATTATCTGTGTCCTGTGTGCAAAGCGCGGCTCAACTCACAGCAGGAATTGGAGAAGCATTACAGTACTATCCATGGTGTCAAAGGTAAGATTTACTTTTACTGTAAATCCTTATCTGGTTTAGTTGTGATATGCAATATTAGTATTGCATACCAATAAATGTTTGTCGGATGAATTTTATAATTAACTTTAAAAAAATCCTGTTCACAATTTTTTTTTCTTCTTCTTCTTCTTCTTCTTCTTCTTCTTCTTCTTCTTCTTCTTCTTCTTCTTCTTCTTCTTCTTCTTCTTCTTCTTCTTCTTCTTCTTCTTCTTCTTCTTCTTCTTCTTCTCCTCCTTCATCTTCATCTTCTTCTTCTTCATGTGGGTGTGTTTTAATTTTTTTTTCTTTTTCTTCTTTTTTTTTTTTTTTTTTTTTTCTACACTTTTTTAAGAGATGAAATCAAAGAGATGATTAAAAAAGAACACCTTAATAAATTCCCTCTTGCTCTAGAAATGATGTTTAGGAACAGCTGACCACATTCAAGAGAAACTGAATATCACTTAATATATCATTCTAAGACACAAGCGGCCACAGCCTCGAGACTCTGCGGGAAGAGTTGAACGAGCTGTCAACCACCCTGAGGGAGGAACGCTGGTATTCTGAGGAGTTGAAGAAGGAAGTGGAGAGGTTACAAGAAGCCTTCAAAAAGAAAGATGAAGGAGAAGAGAATTTTGTTCACAAGGTATATTTTTCATTTTCTTTTATTTCTTGTATTACTATTATGATGATGATGATGATGATGAATGTATGATATATTCCTGTCTTTATTTTTGTATGTTGAATGTCAAGTTTAGGTTGTGTAGAGTGTGGAAATAAAATCTGAGGGTATTTTTTCTGCATTATAAGATATATCAACTCTTAGATGAAATGAACTGGATATTAAATGCGGAAATATTTCAGATTGTCTCGAAAGTGATTCATTGATTCAAAGATTTAAACGATAAGAGAAATATCTCATTTTATTTTTTAGACCCTGGCTGATGTCTTTCGTTGATGAATAATGATTCATTTGCTATGCATGTATGGGTTGTTATGATATACCAATAGACCTTTTTGCATTTTTGGTTGTCATAACTACCTTTATTTCTTTCACATTGTTGTGGATATAGTCAATGAATCTTTATCTCTCTTTCTTAGTCACAATTAGATGCTTTGGAAGAATCCAAGACAATGCTGACCTCAGAAGTGGTCCTTTTAAGGAAGCAGCTCACTGAGTCCCTAGAGTTGAACAGTTCCTTGCGCTCCGAGAAAGACATGCTGGAATCTCGTGCCTCCGACTTTGCAGTGGAAAGAGCAGAGTTGAGAGCGACTCTGGACACTCTACAAGCTGAAAAGGTGAGATCTTGTGAAAGTGATATTGTTATTTCTTTGTTGTTCTGAGTGTGTTTAGAAGTACAGCCAGTCATATCTGTCCTTTAATATGAAAGGATATCCTGTTAGTTTTTTGTTTATATTTTGATGATCTCGTTAATGAGTACAAAGATATCTGACCTACTGTTTTCCTTAAAAGTTATTGGATTTTATCAATACATACTTCTTTATGTATATGAGTATACCCACTTCACATCTGTAAAAGGCTAGTTACTAAAACATCAGTGATGCATATCATTATATAGAACAAAAGATACGTCATGTTACAAAACCAAATTGAGGAAAAGGTTTTGTTTGAAAATTACCTTTTTTTTTTTATCATGCAACATGTGACTTACAGCATGAGAGAGAACAATCAAAGTACAGTAATTAGTTATGTTATTTGGATATTTAAAAGGGTAAAACTGCCAGAATCCTTAACACCACTTCTCGCCTCACCAGGTTAGTCTAGAGTCGGAGTTGCACGAGTTGCGCTCCAGCCGGTCTAACCAGGAAACTCAGGATCAGGCTGAGTCTCAACAGCTGCAGCAAGAGCTTCTCAAGATCCAGGAACAACTGACCAGCAGAGATAAGGAGGTTTGTGGCCGATTCATGGGTGTACTTGCATGCGAGCAGCTGTGCAAATGTATTATGCTCTTGTGCTGTGGAAACCTTTGCTACTTTCTCTCCTGAACTTTGTCTGTAGTTTCCTTTACTTGTTACCTCTTCTTGTGTGTGAATGCCCTTATAAAAGTTTGTAATTATAGATTGCGGGATTTGGTCAGTATGCGCAGATAGTAAAGAAGGGAGGAAAATGGATTCTGATATGTGTTTGTACATTTCCTCATTAAAGGTTTGCAACTAGAATGAAGTATGGAGAGGTCATATTTTGTTATAGAGATATCTAGCAAGAATCTAAAGATAGAATGTGAGTAAACTAGTCTATCAGCTTGTGTTCATTTTTAAGATGCTCTCCTTCTTTTCTCTTTCTGATATATTAACACAGTTCACAGCAATTTTTTTTCCTGTGGAAGAAAGAGTCCATGTTCTGCAAGGATTGGAAGGAGGGGTAGTTAGAATGTAAAGTTTTAGTGCCTTTTGATATAAATGTGATTGGCGTTCGTCTATCAAGATCACTGTTTGATCCTGTGTTTTGATTTAGTGTAGATTTTCCCTAGGCGCTGTAAGGAGGCCATTTACAAGAGATGTGTTTTTCCTGTTATGCTCATCCATCTATCTCTACTCTTGTCTTCTTCCCTCTCTCCCTCTCTCCCTCCTTCCACACAACTTCCCTCACAATCCCTCCCATCCTTCATCTCTCCTGCTTTCCTCTCCTCACTTCTCCCAGTTCTCTCTCTCTACTCTCTCTCTCTCTCTCTCTCTCTCTCTCTCTCTCTCTCTCTCTCTCTCTCTCTCTCTCTCTCTCTCTCTCTCTCTCTCTCTCTCTCTCTCTCTCTCTCTCTCTCTCTCTCTCTCTCTCTCTCTCTCTCTCTCTCTCTCTCTCTCTCTTCTCCCCCCCCCCTCTCCATCTCCATCTCCCTCCCTCTCCATCTCCATCTCCCTCCCTCTCCCTCTCTCTGTCCATCTCCCTCTCCCTCCCATCTCCCTCCCCTCTCCCTCCGCTCTCCCTCCCCTTCCCTCTACTTCCTTCTTTCTATCACTTCTCTTTCCATCATCATTCCATTCCCTATATTTGTCATTTAGGAATGTCAGATGGCTGTAAGTCCAGCCTTTTTGCCAGTATTTTGTTTTGTCATGACATTAAAACCAAGTGTTTACTGTAGTTATTATTCAAAGAGAGCACTTATACATTTGTATTGTCTGTTTGCTTAGATGAGTTGCATGTGCGTTATTATTGTGCAACTGACACATGCATGTACCCGCACTGGCACACACATACACACGTGCACAAACATGCACACACACAGACACACACACAACACACACACACACACACACACACACACACACACACACACACACACACACACACACACACACACACACACACACACACACACACACACACACACACACACACACACACACACACACACACACACACACACACACACACACATCACACACACACACACACACACACACACACACACACACACACTCACACACATCTCTCTCTCCTCTCTCTCTCTCTCTCTCTCTCTCTCTCTCTCTCTCTCTCTCTCTCTCTCTCTCTCTCTCTCTCTCTCTCTCTCTCTCTCTCTCTCTCTCTCTCTCTCTCTCTCTCTCTCTCTCTCTCTCTCTCTCTCTCTCTCTCTCTCTCTCTCTCTCTTCTCTCTCTCTCTCTCTCTCTCTCTCTCTCTCTCTCTCTCTCTCTCTCTCTCTCTCTCTCTCACTCTCTCACTCTCTCACTCTCTCATCACACACATACATACATACATACATACATACATACATACATACATGTATACATACATTAACCCTTTGCATATTGGTACATGTACTGTCCACTCCAGTTTTCTATGAATGTTCTTGCACACAGGTGGCTCCACAAATGCTCAGCTACCAAGAAGCCAATTAGTATGCCCAATGTGTCCTCACCATTCACATAGATACAGTTGTTCCTATTATTGTTATTGTGTTATATTGTGTATAATGTGATTATTATACTAATAGCCTTAAAAGATAAAATCAGAACTGAAAATCAAGTAAAAAGGTAAACAGATGGAGGAGGTGGGACTATGAATAACTCCTTGGTGACTGAGTACTAAGGGAACTGTCCGTAAACATAGTTGGTAAACTGAAATTACATTGGACTTGCATGTATGCCATGACAGCTAAATGCAGAGGGTTAATTTCAAGCAGGCAGTCTGGATTTGCTCTCTCCAGTAATGGCAGAGAAAGTTTTGGAAAATTTTATCCTTTTACCTTTTTATTCTTATTATTGACGTAGTTTTTACCAAGGCTAGCCAGTTTGTTGATTTTTGTAGCATGCACCCAGTTTCTTCCACCCACAGTAAACAGAGGGCTGTCAGTCTTGCCTTTGTTAAGTTTGCAGTAGTGAACATAAACAAACACAGTGTCACATACGTGTTTATGTTTCGTATGCATGTACATTCATTTGATTGTATTCATAAACAAACCATAAATTACCTTACTGCCAAGCTATATACAGAACTTCATTTTTTTTTTAATATAACTATTGATATTACCATTGTCTGTTATGCTTACAATTTTCTTTCCAATCTCTTGAATTTAATTTAGTTTATCATTGTTTTTATTCTATACTATACATAAGAAAATTTGTGATATATGTTGCTACAAAGTATCATTCCAATTATTTTTCCCTTTCTTTTAATGTCTTCTTACTCTCATTTAGTATATTCTTCCCCTCCTTCCATCTACCTGACTGTCTGCCTCTAGATTTGCGTCTTGCTGTCTCTATTCTTTTCATCGTTGTTCCTTTGTCTCTTTATCTCCGTCTGTCTCGACACAGTCTTCTCTTTCTCTCTCTTTCTTTCTTTATCTCTCTCTTCCCCTTTCTCTCTCTCTCTCTCTGTCTCTCTCTCTCTCAGTCTCTCTCTCTCTCTCTCTCTCTCTCTCTCTCTCTCTCTCTCTCTCTCTCTCTCTCTCTCTCTCTCTCTCTCAGTCTCTCTCTCTATCTCAGTCTCTCTCTCTCTCTTTTTCTTTTTTTTTTTTTCTTTTTTTTTTTTTTTCTTTTCTTTTCTTTTCTTTTTTAAGCAGACATTAATGTTGTTTTTCATATGTATTTCTATTGCAGTCTTTGAAAATGCTTACTCTGTGTATTTTAATATCTTTATATTTTTTGAGGCCAATGATACCATTATTTATTTGTCTTACATTTATTTTATAGTGCATTACCATTTGTACGGGTAATTTATGGTATTTGTGCATGTGACTGTACTACGCATGTATCTGCAAGCATTCTCTCAGACATGGGTATAAAATTTACGTCATTTAAGCTTTTTATTATGTGCCAAGGGAATGTTATTACTACCTTATAGTAGCTTCTTTTGCATTATTATTATTATTGTGCATTGGAGTGTATTCTTCACAGAACCTGACATCGAAGAAACACATTATCAGACAGATGTATTGCAAGGGAGGTCCTCGCAGGCAGTAGAACAGGAATTTTTCATGTACCAGTCATGTAATGCATAGCGAATATAGGGTTGCCGTTTCCTTGTGCAGGTCATAGTGTATGCGAGAAGTAGATGGTTATTTTTCATTACAATTCCTGGTAGTTATTGCCCCCAACTGTAAAACAGCAAGAATCCCATTTTGTTCTTATTGTTATTATCGTGGATTTCATTAGTTGTGATATTTGAAACAATGGTAATGATGCATTTATTATCATTCACCTTATTACTGTTGTTGCTGTTATCATTATTATTTTTATTGTTATTAATGTTGTTATGATTATTATTATTATTATATTATTATTATTATATTATTATTATTATTATTATTTTATTATATTATTATTTATATTATTTTTTCATTTTGTTTTGTTTTTTTTTTTTTTTTTTTTTTTTTTTTTTTTTCATTAGCATATTCTTCCTATTCATATTATTGTTAGTTTTGTTATTATTCTAATTCTTAATCTTGATATTGTTCTTGTTCACAACAGTGCTACAATCATAATTACTGGCTTTATTATGAGTTGTACCTTTAATTGGTTGCTTTTGTTGATTTTACTGTAAATGTTGTTTCTGCCATTTTTATTATCATTACACAGTTACTGTTATTATGTTTTATTTATTATGATGGAAAGATGAGTAGTAGTATGGACAGTTATTGCTGTTATTATTGTTTGTTTATTTTGCCATTGAATTTTCATGGCCATATCTGGATAGAGCCATCTAGGTGATATGCATACTGTATGCATGTTAAGTTATCAATCAGCCTCGCACACAAATATTCTTTGGGTCGGGCCTCGCACAATTCTAACAAACCAGCCAATTATCATCACTAATGTTGTTATTATTAGCATCATATTTGTGATTGTGATTAATATTGTTGCTATATTTTTTGGTGAACATGATGATCAGGTTAATGGTAATGATAGCATAATGATTTTTTTTCTTTCTTTCTTTTTATGTTAAATTGTTACATTTATTTTTATTTTTATGATGATGATGATAGTGAATACTTGTATTATTACTATTACCTATAGTAGTAGCAGTCGTAATAGAATAATAGCTATTACTGTTCGTATTTATTATTATTGCAGTTGCCCCACCTACTGTGCGACTTTGCAGTTTACAGTCATAATTGGGAAAATTATTAATTATACTTATGTTTTCAAACTTTGTGTGAATTTGTTGTAGGAAAGTGAGCAGAAAGGTGCTTTTTTATTCCTAAATACCTATAATATTTACACTTAGGCCTCCAAAATGGTATGTGTTTAGCATTCCACTTGCCCTCAAAATTAGGTTTGGTAGATCATTATTTATTATATTTTAAAGTATATTTTCATCACTATTCTAATGACTAAAAAGGGATTATTAAAGTTAGTTTGGGAAAAGCAGTCATCAGACCAATTGCGTTCTACAGAAGAGGTAAAAATATTGTTCAGCTGAAACAGCCACACCAGGTTTGACGCCAGATAATTTCATTTTTGAAAATCCTAAAGTAAAACCACGGTCAGGGGATTAAGTGTAGGTTCAATAGGACACCCTAATTATATCAAATTATATTATATTTTATATATATATATATTTTTTTTTTCTTTCTTTTTTTGTGGTAATTCATTGATGCATACTTATTTACAAATCTAGGGATGTTCATTTGCCAGTTGCTGCCATTTTGCATATATCTTTGCTTCCAGTCTTGGTTAAAGTTTAGTTTTACATTCAGAAGCCTCAACACTAGGCAGAGAATCAGTGGTTACTACAAGTTCTTTTCTCAAGCTGTAGACTGTTCAGGCTCTTCATACTTTCATTCATGCAAAAGTGAAGGTTTAAATTCACAGGACTTCTATGCATTGAAACATAAGGATTCGTTCAATCTATTATCTTGAGTACTGGGCAGAGAGAGAGAGTGATTGTGCATTTATGTATGTATGTAAGTTGTTGCAGCAGAAAAAAGGCAGAGTTGAGGAACATGGCATATACCTCCTCACAACATGGTTTTGAAGTCATGTTTCCGACATATTAGTCTGCATTTTTGGACTACCCACACTCGCATATTACTTACCATGCCTGTCATTCATGCAATAGTAAACTTAAATGTGCAAAGAGTAACTACATGATAAAAAGTTGAAAAATGCAAAGATGGAGGGATGTGAGAGTCAACTTTATTACCCTTATGACATGTATTTCAATGACTTTTACTTCAGACATTACTATTTCACAGCAATTAGTAGATGGGACAACTGTATATTATCAGTGTTGTTATTAGTAGTAGAAGAATTATTTTATGATTGCAATAGATTTCTTTTATTATTACTATTATAATTATCAAGCAATAATACTTAGTACTAGTTTTATTATCATTATTGTTGTAATACTTTTGATATGGATAGTATTAAAATGGCATAATCTATACTATGTGGAGTTAAACTTTCTCACCATATTCAATCATTCTCGTGCCATTATAAAGATTTATGATTAGTTTAAACTTAAAAGCATCCTACTTAAAGACAATACTCCTTAGAAATATGCAAAATGGAGCATTAGCCCAAAAGTGTTGGTGACTGTTGCAACCTGAAACTGCTGCAGCCGCACCCAACATAAACACATTCTCGCCAATTTCAGAAGTCCGTGTCATGTAGGTCAATCTGCTAGGCAGGCTCCCTGGGGAAGGGTTGAACTCTCGTCTCATTCCCGAAAGTAGGCCTCTGCCCACTGCATACGTAACTAATAATCAGACTTCCTTTGCATGATATTAAGCCGCCAGCATCCGAGATTCCCATTTGGACCTCCAGTTTCATAGGAGATTGTGATTTTTGTTTACATATTTCCTCATCTTCTCTCTCTATTTTTTTCTATTTTCTTTTTTTATATGATGATGGAAGAAAATGACAGGATGTAGGATATACTTGTGTTAGTTAATTCCCACACACGCACACCAGTTGAGTTACATCTCGAGGGACTCCGTACCTCATGTTTGAGTGTGATTATGCTCCTTTTCAAATTCCTCATATTGGTACCATTATATTTTTGGGAGTAGGTAGCAGTATTTTACCTGGTCTGTATCTTGTCCTGTGTGCAGTACTGAAGTTGTGAAGTGTAGGTAAAGTGTAAAGGGTACAGTTTGCATGTGAGTTGCTATTCCACTTTATTTAGTATTTTCTGGCTAATGCATGTTACCTTATTCCCAAGTAAGTGTGGCATGATGGCAAAAAAAAAATGCATGTGGATTTCAGCGTGAGACTGTCAAGTTTTGGGAGAGTAGGTTCCGTTTAGAACTCCANGGGCGGTCATTGGTCGAATTTTTGAGAGCGGGACGGTCATTGGTCGAATTTTTGAGAGCGGGACGGTCATTGGTCGAATTTTTGAGAGCGGGGCGGTCATTGGTCGAATTTTTGAGAGCTGGGCGGTCATTGGTCGAATTTTTGAGAGCGGGGCGGTCATTGGTCGAATTTTTGAGAGCGGGCGATGGTCGAATTTTTGGCGGTCATTTGGTCGAATTTTTGAGAGCGGGACGGTCATCGGTCGAATTTTTGAGAGCGGGGCGGTCACTGGTCGAATTTTTGAAGCTGGGCGGTCATTGAGAGCGGGACGGTCATTGTCGATTTTTGAAAGCTGGGTGGTCATTGGTCGAATTTTTGAGAGGCGGACGGTCATTGGTCGAATTTTTGAAAGCGGGGTGGTCATTGTCGAATTTTTGAGAGCGGGGCGGTCATTGGTCGAATTTTTGAGAGCGGGGCGGTCATTGTCGAAGTTGGGAGAGCGGCGGTCATTTGGGTCGAATTTTTGAGAGCGGGCGTTATTGGTCGAATTTTGGGGCGTCATGTCGAATTTTTGAGAGCGGGCGGTCATTGGTCGAATTTTTGATAGAGATTTGGGGTTGTCACTGGTTGCAATTTGAGAATATTGTTGTCTTATGGGTTAAATTTTGAGTGCGGGGTTACAATAAGGATTTTTGGAACGTTCTTGTTAATGGTTATTCCTGCTCTATCCGTGATTCCCTCCCTCTTCCTTCCACCCCTCTCCCATCCTTCTCGCTCCCTCCTTTCTTCCTCCTCTCCACGCCTCCCCTCTCCCCTCTCCTCCCTCCCTCATTTCCTTCCATTCATCTACCACCTCCTTTCCTCTCTCTCTCTCCACCCTCCCTGTCTCCTTCCTTTTCCCTCTCTCCCTCTCTCACCCTCCCCTACCCCCCTTTCCTTCCCTCCCTCCCCTCCCTCCCTCCTTTCTCACCCTACCTCCCTCCTTCCTCCCTCCCTCTCCCCTTCCCTCCCCTCCTTTCCCTCTCTTCATCTCCCACCCTCCCTCCTTTCCCTCCCTCCATCCCCTTTCCCTCCCTCCCCTTTCCCCCCTCTCCCTCCCTCCTTTCCTCCTCCCTCCTCTCCTCCCTCCCTCCTTTTCCTCTCTCCCTCTCCCACCCTCCCTCCCTCCTTTTCCTCTCTCCCTCTCCCACCCCCTCCCTCCCATCCTTCCTCCCTCCATTCCCACCCTCCCTCCCTCCCTCCTCCTTTCCTTCCCTCTCCCACCCTCCCTCACATCAAAAGCCCCTTGGTATTAAAAACTTAATCTTGAGAAAATCTTAAGGCGAGTGCATTAAGTGCCGGGAACCTTGCCATCCCTTGACAATAATGCAAAATACCTGTCGATCTGTCTCTCTAATTAATTATTCATCACAGGTGTCGTATTAAGGCCTGATAAGGAGGGGTGGGGTGAGGAGGGGAGAGCGGGGTGATATGGGGGGAGGAAGGGAGGGAAGGAGAAAGGGGGAGGGAGGAAGGATGAAGGTGATAGGGGGAGGGAGAGGAGATAAGAATGGGGGGGGGGTACGGAGAAGAGAGGATAGGGGGGGGGACGGGAGAAGGTGAATGGGGGGAGGAAGGATAAGAAAGGGGGGGGATTTCGGGAGAAGGAGAAGGGGAGGGAGGGAGGATAAGAATGGGGGGGGTACGGGAGAAGGAGAAGGGGAGGAGGATGAAAATGGGGGGGGGGATGGAGAAGGAGAAAGCGGGAGGAGGGAGGAGAAGAATGGGGAAGGCAATGATGGTGAGGATGGGGGGGGGGGGTACGGAGAGAAGATGAGGGGGTATGGGCAGGAGGGCGAGCAAGGGAGCGAAGAAGGGAGGCGAGGAAACAGAGAGAGAGGAGAGAAGAATGAGAAGAGGGAGGGAGCAAGGGAAAGGAAGCTGAGGCAAGGGAGGAAAGAAGCTAGAAGGGAGGAGGAGAGAAGGGAGAGAGGGAGAAGGGAGGGAGGGAGGGAGGAGAAGAAGGAGAGAGGAGAAGAAGAGAGAAGGGAGAAGAAAGGAGAGGGGAGAAGAAGGAAAGAGGGAGAAGAAGGGAGGAGGAGGAGGAGATACCTCTACTCCCACTCTATTTAATTCTATCAATAGTACTTGGTATTTGAGAGTATATCTTAATGTTATTTCTGTTCACTGTATATATCAGGTTTCGTAATGCTTTCTCTGTGATTATATCAAGAACTTTTGATCTAATAGTTGCACATATGTAAACCTTTTGTGTGTGGTTGCTGTGTGTGCGTGTGTGGTGTGTGTGTGTGTGTGTCGTGTGTGTGTGCGTGTGTGTGTGTGTGTGTGTGTGTGGTGTGTGTGTGTGTGTGTGTATGTGTGTGTGTGTGTGTGTGTGTGGTGTGTGTGTGTGTGTGTGTGGTGTGCGTGTGTTGTGTGTGTTGTGTGTGTGTGTGTGTGTTGTGTGTGTGTGTGTGTGTGTGTGTGTGTGTGTGTGTGTGTGTGTGTGTGTATCTGTGCGTGTGTTGCGTGTACGTCTCGCTGTGTGTGTGGTGTGTGTGTGTGTGTGTGTGTGTGTGGTGTGTTGTGTGTTGTGTGTGTGTGTGTTGTGTGCGTGTGTGTGTGTATGTGCATGTGAGTCTGTAAACATGTGTGTATGTATGTATGTATGGTATTCTAAAACGCCACCCTACACCAATTAGTCTCTACACAACATATTAATATGACTTCTATTCAAAATCACTAATTAAGTTATTCCACTGCCCATACACCCCTCGGCCATCTATATAATTCCAAAATCGGTTTATGTAATCGTATCTATCTGTTTATCAATACAACAGTAATATAATTTCAGAATAATAATATCACCCATTGTTAACTGTATTTTAAGTCTGTTTGGTTAGTTTCATTAACCCTTTTCATACGAATAATGACACATTCATTATAAACACGGAGATGGCAATAATAACACAGAAAGGGGAGAGAGGGAAAGAGAGAGAGAGAGAGAGAGAGAGAGAGAGAGAGAGAGAGAGAGAGAGAGAGAGAGAGAGAGAGAGAGAGAGAGAGAGAGAGAGAGAGAGAGAGAGAGAAGAGAGAGAGGAGAGAAAGAGAAAGAGAAAGAGAAAGAGAAAGAGAAAGAGAAAGAGAAAGAGAGAGAGAAGAGAAGAGAAGAGAAAGAGAAAGAGAGAGAAAGAGAGAGAGAAAGAAGAAAGATAACTCCATAGCTTCTCTCTCTCTCTCTCTGTCTTCCTCCTTCCCTCTCTCTATCCCTTTCTATTTCTCCCTCTCTCTATATATATCCCTCTTTCGCTCTCCATAATCTAATATCCACGTACATTTCAGAGTCGATGGAGAGAAAGCAAGGCGTGGCAACTCAACTGATTTCTTCATTGCTCGGTTGCAAATTAATGACTAATTAATTATACCAATCCGACAGGTGTATTAACCTTCCCGTAATCAGACACAAATTCGATTAAGGTAATAACTGTCGAGCTGTTTGCGTGGATTTGGGTCTCGATAACTTTGGCTCCTTTTTGGATAATTGGGTTTGGGCTCATTTGGATAATGGAGTGGTGGCTCCTCTGGATAACTGGGTGAGGTTTTGGTTTATTTGGATGAGTTAGTGAGGTTTTGGTTTATTCGGATAATTGAGCTTTTGGTTTATTTGGATAATTGAGCTTTTGGTTCATTCGGATAACTGAGTGAACTTTTGGTTCACTTGGATAAGTAGTGAGGTTTTGGTTCATTCATGAGTGTGTGGCTTTTGGTTCATACGGATAAGTTAGTGAGGTTTTGGTTCATTCGGATAACTTAGTGAGGTTTTGGTTCATTCGGATAACTGAGTGAGGTTTTGGTTTATTCGGATAATTGAGCTTTTGATTTGGATAATGAGCTTTTGGTTTATTTGGATAATTGAGCTTTTGGTTTATTTGACAATTTTTGGTTCATTCGGATAACTGAGTGAACTTTTGGTTCACTTGGATAAGTAGTGAGATTTTGGTTCACTTGGATAATTGAGTGAAATTTTGGTTTATTCGGAAGAAGTTTTGGGTTCGTCTGGAAAATTGAGTTTCTGGCTCTCTTAGAAGATTTGGTCTTGGCTCATTTAGATATGATTTGAGATTTTGGTTCCATTGGATAACCGAGTTTGGTTCATTTGCATGCTTGAGTCTTATCTTGTTTGGAGGATTTAGGACAATCCTAATGACTTGGATCATTAGGATAATTTAATACTGGGTCATCTAGATAATTTAGTGTTGGCTAATTGGGATAGTGTAGTCTTAGATAATGTAATCTTGGTTTATTTGAATTATTTAGTTTTGGCTCATTTGGATAAGTCATTCGTGGCTCACTTGGCTGACTTAGTGTTGGTTCTGGATAATGAACCTTGACTATTGTGGATAATTCGGTTTTTCTTATTCGTATAATTTCGTCTTGGTTAATTTGGAGGATTAAGATTTGGCTCATTTCCATAATTTAGTCTTATCTCATTTGGATAATTTAGTCTTGGCTCACTTGGATAATCTTGACTCAGATAATTCAGTCTTGGTTCACTTTAATGACTGATTTTGACTCATTTAGAGAATTCACTTGAACGTTGATTTTGACTCATGAGTCTTGAATCACTTTAATTATTGATTTTGACCCATTTAGAGAATTCATTCCTGATTCACTTGGATAATTGGAGGATATCTCTATCATCCAATCTGATTTTGTGCATTTCATAGATGTCGTCTCGAGCAAGTTGTACATTGACGTGAACAATTTTCCACTGAAGGAAAAAAGGACTTTGTGGAACGGAGTGTCGAGTTGCAGACATATCAATTCACGGAAAGGTTGGAAGCGAAGGCGAACCGAACAAAAGTGTCTGAGGGTAAATATATGAACTATAGGTGTAAGTATAAGTATAAGTGTAGGTGTGTGTAAGTGTAAGTGATTTAGGATTTCGTCTATAATATATATTTGTGTTCACTTTAATGCGCTACAGTCATATATAGATGGATAATGATAATGCACACACACACACACACACACACACACACACACACACACACACACACACACACACACACACACACACACACACACACACACACACACACACACACACACACATACACACACACACACACGCACACACACACACACACACACACACACATATGATAGATTGACATTTATGCATGTCTGTATATAAGAATATTCATTGGATAGAGGCTTGCAATATTTCAACAAACCGATCGATGATGTAGTGTATAAACGTGAAAATATCGAATTTTTATGTTGCAGATGAACATTTAATTTGGCAAATATATTGAGTCAATTTAGCTAACTGGTCTTGCATACTGTCATACGAGTTGCTTCTAGACAATATTTGCCTCGGGTGACGATGGAAAAAATGTCCTAATATTTGATGTCTATTGCTATATCTATCAGTATACAGGATCTTATATTTGACATCTATCGCTACATCGATCTATTTATCTATCTTTCTATTAAAGGGTTTCCATACTTGATATGTATAGTTGTATCTATTCGTCCTATCTGT